AGTTCACACTTTTGGTACACATAACCAAAATCCCCTTCATATATCAATCTTGATTTGCATACCAAATTTGAAGTTTTTAGCTCTATCCGTTTCAAATAATACCAAATCGTACCACAATGGAAGTTTAGTACCATTCTAGAACTTTTCGTAGTCTTAAAGTTACCTTACAAATTTCAGATTTTTGCCTCATGTCGTTTGTCCAGCACAAAGTATTAAATTGTTAGTACTTTTCGCATCCTTTTAGTACGAATGTCCAAAACCCAGCCATGACCCTCGAACAAAATTTCAAGATTCTAGCTTCATCCGTTTCGTATGGGCGTTGATTCTCGATCAGTAAGTCAGTCAGTTATTTCACCAATCTTTTATGAATATTGACATTTTTTTGGTCTAAGAAAATTTTCAAAAGCGTTCGTTATTTCTATGGCCTGGTAGCTCTCCAAACCCTTTTAAAGTTTTTCCTTGTTTTAAAATTGTCTGTCTATTTTTAGGGGACTTGTTTCATAGATTCCGAGAAAAATGTCCATGTCCCATATATTTTTATACCCTCCACCATACCATGGAGGGTATATTAACTATGTCATTCCGTTTGTAACTCCTCATGTCAGACCCAACAAAGTATATATATATTCTTGATCAGCGTGAAATTCTATGTCGATTTAGCCATGTCCGTCTGTCTGTCCGTCAATGGAAATCACTCTAGCTTCGGAACGAATTGAAGTAGATTAATAAAATTTTGCTTAAATGTATGTTATGTCTGCAAGACTTTTGGTATTGAAAATGGGCCATGTAGGTTGACGCTTTGGTATAGCCCCCATATAACGTTACCTCCCGATATTCGATATTTTGATGATTTTAGGGACATTATTCACCGGAATTGTTTCAAATTTGGCATTTGAAGTTCGTAATGGATACTACAGCCTAAGACAGAAATTTGTCTATGCAGGTCCACGTCTTCGTATAGCCCCCATATACCAGTACCTCCCAATATTCATTATTTTGATGATTTTAGCGACATTATTCATCGGAATCGTTTCAAATTACGTATTTGGAGTTCGCAATGGGAACTACAGCCTAATACAGAAAATTATCTGTGCAGGTCCACGTCTTCGTATAGCCCCCATATAACGGTACTTCCATATATTCGGTATTTTGATGATTTTAGCCTCATTATTCACCGGAATTGTTTCAAATTACGTATTTAGAGTTCGTAATGGGAACTACAGCCTAAGACAGAAAATTGTTTGTGCAGGTCCACGTCTTGGTATAGGCCCTATATACCAGTACCTCCCTAAATTCTGAATTTTGATGATTTTAGCGACATTATTAACCGGAATTGTTTCAAATTTGGTATTTGAAGTTCGTAACAGATACTACAGCCTAAGACAGAAAATTGACAGTGCAGGTCCACGTCTTCGTATGGCCCCTAATAACGGCACCTTCCTATATTCAGTATTTTGATAATTTTAGCGACGTTATTAACCGGAATTGTTTAAAATTTGGTATTTGAAGTTCGAAATGGGAACTACAGCCTTCGTATGGCCCCTAATAACGGTACCTTCCTATATTCAGTATTTTGATAATTTTAGCGTCATTATTCACCGGAATTGTTTCAAATTACGTATTTAGAGTTCGTAATGGGAACTACAGTCTGTGACAGAAAATTGTCTATGCAGGTCCAGGTATTCGTATAGGCCCCATATACCAGTAACTCCCTAAATTCGGTATTTTGACGAGTTTATGTACAATACCCACCCAAATTGTTCGTGATGTCGTAATTCAAGTTCGTAATGGAAGCTTATCTATGCAGGTCCAGGTCTTCGCACAGCTCCGATATAACGGTATCTCCCAATATACGATATTTTGATGATTTTAGCTACATTATTCACCGTTTATTTCAAGTTTCCAATTTGAATATGGTAATGACTAATGACAAACAATGCCTATATAGGTCCACGTCGTATATACACCAATATAGCGGCTATATTCGGTATTTTTTAAAATTTTAACAGAATTTTTTAAGGATTTTATTTCCAAATTCGTTCCAAATGGTTGAGGGTATTCAAAGTTCGGCCAGGCCGAACTTACTGCTTTTTAACTTGTTAAACCTCTTTTCATCTTTCCCTCTCAATAAACGCAGAACATAAGTCACATTCTTGCCTATTTTTTTTTTTTTGGAACGCAAAATATCACGCTCGGTTAATCACGCTTAAATATGGGAATATAAAATAAAATATGGAACAAATGTAAAATATGCCATGGTTAACAACCTCTCAACAAAAGGACTACCCCAGGACATTGTTGCAACTAAAGCCAAGCCAAGCCAAAAAAAAAAACAAAAAACGATGTGAAGCGAAACCTTTATTTTACATTTCCCCTGAGACAGGGGATACAACTCGGCTAAATGGCGGAGCGGGTGGCGGGGTGAATCCGACAATTTGTTCGTTCAATTGGATGCAATGAATGAAAGAGAATATTTTGTAATATTTCAAAAAAAAATGAATAACACACACACGCGCACACACACAAAATATTGCCAGCTATCAGTTTAATTGTTCACATGTGGCAGGCAGGGAGCCAGGCAGAGAGGGGGAGGAGGTCACAACAACTACACGTTGGTGGTTTGTTCTCATTGATTCCTCTTCGTTGATTTGGATATTGATAACTTCATCAATATTTTAATGAGGGAGTCAGTTCATATCGCTTTCTTCTTTTTGGATTAAATTGTGATACTGGCTTTCATCCCTTAGATTTTGATACTCAATGTGTGTATGTGTGTGTGTGTGCGGGAAAAGGCCCAAAACAACCACAAAACCAGAAAAATGTAATAATTCTCATCATAAAAAGTCATTACAGAGCAATGATGGTATATTTACAAATAATGACTGTGATGGTTCTTTATGTCGTGATGGAATTATTATTTTACTAATGATGAAGACGAGGAAGAGCGGGGGTTGAAGAGGGCAAAAAAAGGGGGGGGGTGGTGTGTTATATGGGTATCGCAGGATTCTAAGTAGAATTCGGTAGATAGAAAATGATAGGGGTACCTTTATACTAAATTTTCAAAAAATAAAAATTTTAATTTCAAAAATACCGAATATAGCCTTTATATTGCGGCCTATACGACGTGGACCTACATAGGCATTGTTTGTCATAAGCCATTACCATATTCAAATTCGAAACTTGAAATTAACGGTGAATAATGTAGCTAAAATCTTCAAAATATCGTATATAGGGAGGTACCACTATATCGGAGCTGTGCGAAGACCTGGACCAGCATAGACAAATTTCTGTCACAGGCTGTAGTATCCATTAGGAACTTCAAATACGACATCTCAAACAATTTCGGTGTGTATTGTACGTAAACTTGTCAAAATACCGAATACAGGGAGGTACTGATATATGGGGGCTAAACGAAGACGTGGACCTTTAAAGATAATTTTCTGTCTTAGGCTGTAATATCCATATCGAACTTCAAATACCAAATTTAAAACAATTCCGGTGAATAATGTCGCTAAAATCATCAAAATACCGAATATCGGGAGGTACCGTTATATGGGGGCTATACGAAGACGTGGGCCTGCACAGACAATTTTCTGCCATAGGCTGTAGTATCCATTACGAACTTTAAATACCAACTTTGAAACAATGCCGGTGAATAATGTCGCTAAAATGATTAAAATGCCGAATGTAGGGAGGTACTGATATATGGGGCCTATACGAAGACCTGGATCTGCATAGACAATTTTCTGTCATAGGCTGTAGTATCCATTACGAACTTCAAATACCAAATTTGAAACAATTCTGGTAAAGAATGTCCATAAAATCATAAAAATATCGAATATCGGTAGGTACCGTTGTATCAGGGATATACGAAGACGTGGACCTGCATAGACAATTTTCTGTCACAGACTGTAGTATCCATATCGAACTTCAAATATCAAATTAAAAACAATTCCGGTGAATAATGTAGCTAAAATCATCAAAATACCGAATATCGGGAGGTACCGTTATATGGGGACTATACGAAGACGTAAACCTACACAGACAATTTTCTGTCATAGGCTGTAGTATCCATTACGAACTTCAAATACCAAATTTGAAACAATTCCGTTGAATAATGTCGCTTAAATCATCAGAATACCGAATATCGGGAGGTACCGTTATATGGGGGCTATATGAAAACGTGGACCTTCATGGCCCATTTTCAATATCAAATGTCCTGCAGACATAATACAAATTTGAGTAAAATTTTATAAACCTACTTCATTTCCTTCGGAAGCTAGAGTGATTTCCACAGACGGACAGACGGATGGACGGACATCGCTAATTCGACATAGAATTTTATACTGATCAAGAATATATTTACTTTGTGGGGTTTAAAATGTATATTTCGAGGTGTTATAAACGGAATGACAAACTTAATATAACCTCCATACTATGGTGGTATAAACAGTATTACATTCTGCCTAATTTTTCAAAAATCACATTTGAATATTGTAATGGCTTATGACAAATGTTGCCTGTGCAGGTCCACGTCGTCGTTTAGATCCTAATATGACGGCTACATTTGGTATTTTTAAGATTTTAACAGCATTTTTAACGGATTTTATTTTTTTCGAAAATTTCCAAATTCGTTCCAAATGGTGGAGGGTATTAAAAGTTCGGCCCGGCCGAACTTACAGCTTTTTTACTTGTTTAGTAATAGAATATCTTTTGGTTTTTAAATTTTTGAAATTTTTGATATAATTATTTAGGAACTATAAAACTTTGGTCTTTCGCAAATAAACATCGCATTTCCTCATTTAACTTGACTAAATTTTTGAAAGCTGTAACAAACTCACCCAGTCACAACAAAATTAATAATGCATAATATTCCTCAGAAACCAAAAAAAAAAGTGCATGCAATTTATTTACTCAATGATTTATTATTCCTCCATTCGTTCACAATTTTTTTCTCATTTTCCTCTTTTTTCCCTCTTCTTCTCCATCTTTTCTTGCAGTGAACCACCCATATTGAAGGCCCACAATAATACGGACATCATACTGCGTCTTCCCATGGGCAAAAGGATTAAGGACATAAGATGGCTCTCAGTGTGGTGCAGACGTTTTACGGTATTTATTTTGTTTACAGTTTTCGATGTTGTTGTTGTTGTTGCTGCAGTTGTTGATGTTATTATTATGATTTTTTCGTCTTTACTTTTATTGTGGCGTGTCCTTTGTAGTATTTTTTTGATTCTCTCGTTTTTTGAAAATTTACTTTTACTACGTACGTTTTACCATTGGTTTTGCTTTGTTGTGGTTATTGTTCGTGGTTACAATTCTGTTTTGATTTTATTCCATCGGGGGGAGAATATATGTATGTATGTGTTCTTGAATATGTGTTGTATATTTAAGGAGATTGTATTTTTTTGGGGGGTTTCCTTTGAAAAATTTTAATAATTGCTAAATCCTTTTCGTCTTTTTTCGGGGGAGTTATCTATGGAAAGACTTTCAATTTCTTTTCAAGGTCGTTGCATTGTTTTTTTTTGGTCAAAGAATGATTTCCAAAAAAAAAAAAAAAAAAAAAAAAATGAAGTAATTTAAATTGAACTTGAAATTTACGACAAAAATGAGAATTTTGTTTTCAACTCAATTTTTTTGGAATTATCAATTTTTTTAAATTTGCGACCATAAATAAGCACTTCTTTTATGCGACATGCTCAAAATTAAATAATGGTAATTAGATTTGAAATGAGTATTTTGTCGGTAGTACTATTTATTCTGATATCTCCCCCAAAAAGAGTACACATTTTGAAAAATCGCAAATCTCTTAAAATTGGAAATACTTTCCTGATTCTACCAACACCAAGAAAGGAGTGAAAATTTAATTTATTCACCGAGTTTCATCAAATTTTGGTGATCTCAATATTTTTTTCAATGTCGGATGCAGTGTGAAAATAGATAATTAGAATCGCTTCTTTTAATATTTCCCCAAAAATTTCTGAAAAATCATAAGTCGTTTTCGATTTCTTCGAATATCACAATATTTATTAATTTTGAGTGAAAGTATAATATATTCATCAAATGATCCTCTCCGATCAACGGCCGATATTATAAAACACATTTTAAATGTGAGACAAAAATACTAATAATTTTAGAAATGTATGGGAAATGGGAAATCTCCTTCAAAATCCTAATAATTAAGGTAAGCCATTATACAGGGTGAGAAAATGAAAATGAGAAAAATGTGAAAAAATTGAAAAAAATACCGACTTCAGACTGCTGCCATTTCTAAGCCACTCGTCCGACAGCTGTTAAAATTGTTCCAGTGACAGCTCATTATATTGTTTAAAAGCGCACTAAAGCTTTTTGGTGAGAATTTTCCAGAAAAGAAGTTATTCGTGATGGAATTCAATCGTGGCTATCGTAATACCGCAGAGCAACATCAGGGCAGCGTGTGATGGTTTCAATGGCCGTTTCGTGCCAAAGGTGACCAATTCGAACAAATCTAAACATATTCTAAAATTTGATGCTATTTTCGACATTTTTTCAATAAAATTTAAAAAAAGCTAAAAATTATGGCGTTCGACTTTGTTGTAGTTTTTTTTTATCTCACCCATATGTGAACTATTTCAAAGGCTGGGGCTGTATTGAAAACATTTTTCGAGAGGATTTTCCTATTCAACTTTGGGCAGAACAAACATGGGACCTGAAATGTATGTCAAAGCTCGAACCGGTGTTGAAAAATTTTCATAGGGCGAATTGTTATTCAGTGGGCCATTTCGCTTGTACCTCCGTCTCAAAGAGTTAATTGACTGAAAGTGTGAGGTGTTCAAAAAATGTGAAATATGTCTTTGGTTTCTCTTCAAAAATTAGCCCAAATAAATACTTTTGCGAATATTGAATAAAATGTGTAAAAAATTATGCCGACATTTTGTTTTGCATAATTTTTAGAAAAATAATCCGACAACTTAAAATGTTTCATGGATATTGTATGAAAAGCGGTAATCGAAAACTTTATGAGAAATTATTGCTTCAGTCTGGAGTATTCCCACATTGACTTAACTTCATATTATTTTCCATTGCAGTGAGCAATGTTGTTACAGCTTTGCAATATTTGCTGATTTCTACCAATATCCTGATTTCATCCCGGCGACTCAAATTTGAAAATTTTGACGATAACCAAGAATTGTTTTTTTTTTTTCAATATTTTGGAGATTTATATTTGGAGATTTATAAAAATTACGGAATCTTCGGAATATTTCTGTCAAGGCCTTCCTGAACAAAAATCGTCGAGATTTTAAACCAATTTCTTCAAAGAACAACTGGGTAAAAATCATGGATTTTTTTAAAGAAGATATTTAAGATTCCCCGGCAAAAAAAAATGAATTTGGTTCTTTGACTTTCATTGACTTTATGCCACAAAATCAACAATTTTGCAGTGAAAATTTTTGGGACTGAAACGACTTGCTTTTCCTTTAGATTTTTCTGGACAAATATCGAGGATTTTAGGCCATTTTTTTAAAGGTCATGCATCTTTAGATTTTCCAGGATATTTCTTGTAAAAAAAGTTAAAAAGTATCAGACGCCGTATAGTAAATGAAGTTTCAAACACCTACTGATAATAAGGATACCCTGACATAAGTTATGGCTCCTGTTAAAAATTTTAAACATTTAAGGAATAATTTTTAATGGCAGGAAATCATGGATTTTGTTCGAAATGTGAATATCCAATTCAAAATTTGTTCCTGTATACAAACCTTACAATTTTTAAGTAATAGTTTCAAGGATCTCGGTAGATTTAAGACTATCTGACCAAAGCTTACATTTTCAAGAAAACTAGGTAAATATCATGAGTTCAATAACGTCCAAATCAGGGTTTTGAAGGGACATTTTTAAGGGCTTCATGAGGAACATTTTTCTTGAGAACGTCCCGACCCAAAATAATGGATTTTGGAGAGTGTATTTTTAACAGGTAAAAAAGGCTGTAAGTTCGGCCACCCAATTGCAACGAATTTCGCAATTTTCAGAAAAAATAAAATCCCTTAAAAATTCTGTTAAAATCTTAAAAATACCGAATGTAGCTACCATATTAAGGTCTAAATGATGACGTTGACCGGCATCGGAAACTTTTGTCATGAGCCATTACAATGTTCAAATTCGAAAGTTAAAAATAAAAATCGGTGAATAATGTAGCTAAAATCATCAAAATACCGAATATCGGGAGGTAGCGTTATATGGGGGCTATGCGAAGACGTGGACCTGCACAGACAATCTTCTGTCATAAGCTGCAGTATCCATTACGAACTTTAAATACCAAATTTGAAACAATTCCGGTAAATAATGTCTCTAAAATGGTGGGGTCTATACGAAGACGTATACCTACATGTCCCATTTTCTGGTTTATGCTGTAGTATCTATTACGAACTTCAAATGCGAAATTTGAAATAATTCCGGTAAATAATGTCGCCAAAATCATCAAAATACCGAATATCGGGAGATACTGTTATATGGGGGCTATACGAAGACGTGGACCTATATGCCCATTTTCAATACCAAAAGTCCTGTAGACATAATACACATTTAAGTAAAATTTTATCAGCCTACTTCATTTCGTTCGGAAGCTAGGGTGATTTCCACAGACGGACGGACATCGCTAAATCGACATGGAATTGTATGCTGATGAAGAATATATATATGTTGTGGGGTTTAAAATGTGTATTTCGAGGTGTTACAAATGGAATGACAAATTTAATATACCCTCCATATTATGGTGGAGGGTATTAAAATATATTTTAATACATTCCTTGCGTAGGACATATCTAAGGACTTCTTACGTATCGCATATTGTAAATATATTTATATTTGTCCATAAAAATCCTAACCAAAAGGAGTATTTGTAAAATTTCCTAACCAAAAAACGATGATTTTTAAGAACTCTTTTTTTAAGCATTCATTTTTAATAAACACCCTATAAAAACGTCTGATTTTGTTTAAGAAACTTTTAAAATCAAGAACTTGTTAAAGACATTTTAAATGCTAGACTTGAAGCTCTTTTTAGAGGAAATAGTTTATGATATTTCCGACCAAAAATCATATTTTTTAGAAATGTCTTTAAAATTGGTTCTTGACCAAACATCTAGTAATTGTTTTGAATATTTATACCGTACAGCACTTTGTGTTGGGGGTATAATAATTGGGCCAAAAATTATGTTACAACTCGAAATATTGGTCTCCGACATAGGAAATTATTCCTATCTCGCCGAGCTGAGTCGATCTACCTATGTATGTCCGTCGGTCCGTCGGTCCATGTTGATTATTAATTACGCTGCAGGTCGCAATTATGGCACGATCCTCACGAATTTGTATTTGTATTTGCAAAAAATTCAGGGGACTCTCTTAAATTAAAAAAAATCTTACTTTTTTAAAATGATAGCTTTTAATGAGTTTTTTGACCAAAATCATGAATTTTGTGAGGATTAAAAATATCCTTGCTTTCATGAAATATATTTAACTCAAGAGTCTGCCAATCGTGACTTGCTTATAAAAAATATTTTTCCGAGGGTTTTCAGATTATAAATCTTGGAGTTCCCTCAACGACTAAGAAGTCAACAAATCTTAATTTATGAAGAAATTTTTAAGGACTTCCGGGTGCAATATTAGGAGTTTATTGTTATTCAAACATTTAATGGACAAAAAGTAGCAACATTTTTATTAAAAACATTTTCCAAGGACTTCACAACCAAAAACTTTGAGAATTTTTTAAGAATATTTAAAAAAGAAATGGTCTTTGTGAGTATTTTTTTAAGAACTTCATTTGCTAATTTCGTAGGATTAAATTGACACTTGCTTTCAAAGGAACTCCTGACAAAAAATTTTGGGTTTTGTTTAAGAATTTTTTAAAATTATATGGAAATATCCTAGATTTTTCCAATTTTTTAAAATAAATGTTCAATGAGTTCTTGACAAAAAAATCATGAATTTTATGTGGACTTATTTACATACTGACCTTGTCTCAATAACGTGAATCTGGACTTTTTGGTCAACATTTCGATTATTTCGAATTCGATTCGATTATTCATTAAAAATAGATTGCCAAGGACTTCCTGACAACAATTGTGGAGTTATTATTA